TGCTGGTTGCTTTTATGATTATAGCTTCTTATTTTGTTTCTGTAATACTATTTGATATATTTAGAGTGGATTTATTTTTATTTTTCCTGCCTGGGAGTCTGTGATTAATGTAGACTAAGATCATTTTGGAATATACTCATCTGATCTTTCTTCAAATATTGGTTTTATTCCATTCTCTCTTTCTCTTTCTGAAGTTCCTATGATTTATTGAATATCTTCACTCAATTTGTGTGTCTCTTAACCTGTCTTTGCTGTCATAGTTTCTCTTTATTTCTTTTTTCTTTTTCTGGCTTAACGTCTTCAGATCTGATGCAATAAATTCTCCTTCAGTTGTCTTCAATTTATTGCTTGAATCAATTGATTGAGTTTTCAATTTTAGCACCATTATTTCTTATATAGTGCAATTCTGTATATTTTTTGAATTGATACATTCATTTAAAATAGCTTTCTTTGTTTTGAATTCTTTAGTCTTTGCTAATTTTAAACATGAATATTTTATACTTGCTATCAGATTCTTCCATTGTCTGTGCCTCTTAAATTAGTTCTTTTCCTGATATTGGCTGATTCACTCATGTCATGGTGGGTGGTCTTTACTGTATGTTCTGTAATTTTTCATTGTGAGCTTATCTTCACAGTGGCTTTGAGAGTCCCTCTGGATTTAACTGAAGTCACATCGTTCCAGACTTAGTTAGTTTTTGCCTTTTCCGGGAGGACCGGGATATCACTGGACTGTATGTTTCTTTTTGGTACCGGGGATCGAACCCAGGACCTTGCACTTGCGAGGCAGGTGTGGTGCCACTGAGCTAAATCCCTAGCCCCTATCACTTAATATTTTTAATGTTAATTTCTTAGATTGGTGGATTGTGGAAAGTAATATGATCATTCAAATCCCTAGTAATTGAGTCACGGTGTTACTATGGCGTTCCAGATAAGTTCCTAGGTTCTTGTGCATGACAAACAAAGAATTAGACATGACTGTGATTGTAAGGCAACAGCAGCAAAGTTTATGTGACAGTACACTCAGAGTGAGGAGGCTTGGCCAGCAAAAGAAAACTGGGATGAGTGCTTAGGGTGTTGGGTTTAGGGTTTTAAAATGTTGCACCAGGTCCAGGACACCTCTGATTAGGTCTTCCAGGAAAGGTTTATTTTGGTATATAGTTTGTAGAGGTTTCAGTCTACAGTATAGTTGGCTGGTTCCATGGCAGGGCAGCAAGGGAGGGGCACAGCAGAAGAAAAAGTGCTCATGGCATGGTGGTGAGAAGTGGAGAGAGGGACCAAAGGAGAAGGGAAGGAGAAAAAATCTTTCAGGCCACACCCCCAGGCTTCACCTCCCAGCATTACATTTAGCTATAAACTCATCAGTGGACTAATCCAGTGATGAGTATCACACCCCCATGATCCAGTCACCTCCCCAAAACCCCAGCTACGAGCACATGAGGCTTTGGGGACATCTAGAAATAAACTGTAACGCACTCCTTGTGGACTTTCAGTTTCCACCTACACATTTCCTCTCTGCAGTCCTCCTTTTGGCTTCTCCAAGATATAACTTTGTTTCCATATTTCTAATTTAACCCACTTCCATTCTATAATTGTGTGGCAAGCACTAACTGTCTCCCAGGAGTTGCAGACCTGTCCTGCTGCCTCCTTCAAGCATGTGAATGAACTCCAGCTCTGGGAATACCAAGGATCTCAGCCTTTCCATTCATCTCCCATTTCATTTAGAAGGACCTGATCAGGAGAAGCAAGAGAGAAAAGATTTTGGTGGGATCACATATCTCTTTGTATTTCCACAATACGACTTCTGCTGGTTGTATTTTTTTGTTCTTAGATTTGGAAAGGACTCACAAATGTGGCTTAGCCCCTTTCCAGGGCCACTGGTATGAGTCCCCAGTTCCTTTGGGGGCACCATTCCTTGTTGGTGTAAGAACAGCCCAGAGCCATGGCAATGTGGTTATTAATAAGAAATACACTTGAGTAAAAAGGGAAGGCCATCAGCATGCTAATGAGGCCTGGTGGATGGGAAGATTGGACCAAGGGAATGCCTCTTTCCTTTGCTCTTGGCAATCCAGAAGAATCTGGAAACAGTGTTTAGTTTGAGTTTTGATTCTTGCTTTCTGTGGCAGTCAGAGCTTCATTACTGGTAAGAACAGACCTGGAACACTGACCAGCCATTTGCTAATGCAGAAAGGAATAAGCTGGTGCTAAGGACAAGTGGTTAAAGCACTGTGAGGGGGCAGGAGACCCCTGCCCCAAGGCAGCTACACAGCGGTATGATCTTGGACATTGTATTGGTGGGGTCACTAGAGGAACAGATTTAATATATATGAGATATATGGAGGATTTACTAAATAGGCTTATGATGGCCACCTGTGGAATCAGAGGTAGAAAAATGCAAAATGGCCATCTGCACGCTGGAAAGGAAGAGGATCCAGTTGAAAGTTGAAGACTTGTAGCTCACTGCAGAGTCTGGTGCGTCTCCGTGTTGGAGAGCTAAAGGGTCTGTATCAGCTGAAGGAACTAGTGAACATCTGAAGGCAATAGTGCAGACTGGAGCTTCTCCAAAGAAGCCAAAGGGAAGACTTCCTCCTTTCCCTGTTATTCCATTCAGGCTACAAGCGTGGTTGGTGCCACCCACATCTGTGGTGTCTTCCCTCCTCAGTCCACTGGCCTGTGCATCAGTCGTACACAGACACACCCAGGACTGAACTTTCTTAAGCCACTCAAGTTGACTCGACAGTTAGCTACGACAGACCTCCTTTCACTGCTCTGAGCCTTGGTGCTTCCCTCTGCCAGATATTTTATCATACCTGCAGGGTTGTTGCAAGAGTCCAAAAAGATGCCCAAGAAGCAGGATTTGGGGACCAGTTTAGAGTATGTGGTGGATTAACTGATGGTCAACTTGTAAAACCCAGCTGAACAGAATCAGCATGGTCTAGGTGTGAAAGATCCACCTGAAGATTGTTACCAGTAGCCATAAAAAGAGAACTGGAGGGGAAGATCTTGACCTGTTGATTTTCTAGGAGAAGCTTGCTGCAGATGGTTTTCCTGATGCCAACTAGGCTGTTCTCTTTGGAGGAGGAGCTTGGGGCCTCACTGTTGCTGGGAATGGCTACCATTTTCATCAGGGGAGCTCTGATCTTCACCATGAGCAGCACTTCCTGGCTCGAATGTGGACCCCTCACCTCAGCTTGGTTGCACAAATCCTTCATCTCAAAAACATAGATTTTCTGGCTTCCACCACTGGCCTTTGGGCCTTCCAGGTGCAGATCCTCAATACAGACAAGCATGAGACATTGACATGGGTTCTAGGCCACTGGCTGGGCTTGAGGAGGACATTGCCTTGGACTCTAGGCCTTCAGCTGAATCCTTTGGGCTTCTAGTGTGTGGTTAATCTCTTACACTCCTTTGCATTTACATCTTTGGGTAATTATCATAAAATAACCTTATAAGTTATGTGACCTGTATTTAATGTATCCCCTCACCAAATGCTTCTGATTACAACAGAGTAGAAAAAATGTAAAACCTTAAAAGTAACTTGATTGAGTTTGGGATGTTTTTCTGAACCATAGCACATCACAGAGAATGAGATGACAAATGGCTTTTCCTCTGTGGCAGGCCTTCTACAGAGATAGGAGGGTTTACACCCTTTCTAGTAGGCCAGCATTTTAAGCTACTTAATTTCGGTCATAGATGGGCCTTAGGTGTATTGGATATGGTTTAATTAAGCCAAGCAAATAAACAATCATTTCCTCCTTTTCAGGAGTCAGGCATGGCTGGTGTTGTCCATACTCAGGCTCCTGAGGAAGGTGCTGCTGGGTCTGACTGCATGTGACTAGGCAGCTTGAGGGTTAAGGAGCACCAGGGCAGCCTCTGGGGCATCATCTGAGGGTACCCTGTCCTGGGTCAAATCACTGGTTCACATAGAGATTGGCACATAGATAAAAGTGGAGGACATTGGCTGCCGGCTTAAGTGCCTTGGAAGAACACCCTTGTTACAAAAAGAACTTTGATCACCAAGAATTGTTTTGTACTACTAATGATTACTTCCTTAACGTTAAGATTAGAAAATACTTTCATCTTCTTAATATTTTAAAATTGGGCTACTTTTGTAAGTTAGAGTTGTCGAGAGGTCCTGCAGGGTCGGGGCATTTGCAGGGACCTGTGAGTGGGTAGGTCTGGAGTCATCCATCCTTCCCGACATGTTCTCCGAGGGCTAAGCGTACCTTATAGCTCTTGAGGTCTCTGTGAGGTTCCATTTCCCAGCCCTACCTCTCTCCAGCCCTGGGACTTGGGCAAGTGGCCTGCACTCCCTGGCCTCTGTATTCTTACCTCAAAAATCATGGGATTAAAATGCCAGACAGAGAGGATGCCTTGGTGCCTGATGAATGCTATGGAATGAAAGACTGTGGCATTATAATTCCAGGAAATTATTACTTGTAAATTGCAGGCTCCAGCTTGTTTCCAGGTGTGGCGGGATACTGAAGCACTGTGAGCAATGAACCAGTGTACAGGAAGGAAGGAAGTGTCACTAGGTCACAGGGCAACTAAGGGTCTGCCAGGATCTGGGCTCAGGGGCCTCCCCTGTGAGTGTCCCTGCTCCATGCAGCAGGTGATTTGGATTGCTCCTGGGAGCAGGTGCTTAGTGCTATCCACCCTAGCATCCTTCCTCTCCCATTTCCTGTGGGGGTGGCTGCTACTTTGGAGTGGCTTGCACATCTGGCTAAGTTTTGGTCCATTTCCCTCTTGGGTAGGAAGCACAGCATCTCTTGCCAAGCAATCTTAAGACTGCATGTTAAACATTCAATACTCACTGGAATTGTGCTGGGGCCAGGTTATTCATTTGCTTAAGAAATATCAGAAAAAGAAAGGAGCTGGTGAGCCCTGGTATCTGTCTGCCAACCAGGACTGGAGCACTGTGGACACCCCTCCTCCAGAGCAAGTGTTCAGAAGCTTTGCAGGACCTGAGCAGGGACTTTGAACAGCTGTCCTGTGCTGTCACGTTCTGTTCCTGCCTGGAGACGGGAGGCTTAGTGTGATTGGTAACTCTCAGAAGGTTGGCAGCTGCAGCTTCAGATGGGCCTCTGTGGAAGTGAGACCAAGAAGGCAGTGACAAGGTTTCACTGTGGCCTCCATCTGAGGCTCCTAGGTCAGTGATTCTGGACATCTTTTCATGAGCTTATTTGGCACTTAGCTATCCTCTTCTGTATGTTTCTTCATGCTCTTTGCTATTTTTAAAGTGGATTATTTGTTATTTTTTACTGTTGAGTCTTAGAAATATATTTTTAGATATATGAAGTTTGATAAATTATATATAAATACGTTTTATAAACTTTCATACATTATATATGAAGAGTGTCCTTATTATTGTAGAAACAAGTCCTTTATTGGATATGTGGTTTGCAAATAGTTTCTCCCAGTTTTGTTTGTCTTTTTATCCTCTTAGCAGAGTCACTCACAGAGCAAAAGTTTTTAAATTTTGATGTAGCCCAATGTGTTTGCTTTCTGTTACCATAACAAACACCTGAGATAAATAACTTGCAAGGAGGAAAGATTGACTTGGTCTCAAATTTTAGGAGGTTTCAGTCCATGGCAGTTTTGTTCTGTTGCTTTGGGGCTTACAATGAAGCAGAACATCATGGTGGGAGAATAGTGGGAGAAGCAGAAAGACACAGGAAGGGCTGGGGCCTTAGCATTCCCCTCAGGGCACATTCCCAGGAACCTAATTTCCTCCCACCAGGCCCCACCTCTTGGAATTTCCACCAGCTTCCCAGAGTGCCCTCAGCTGAGGACCAAGCTTTCCACACCAGGTACCTGGTGGGGGCATTTGTGCAGACCATAGTATCTAATTTGTTTACATTTCTCTTTTACAGACCTTTGATTTCATGTGTAGAATGTGTTCACCAGCTCTGAGAACCTGAAGGTTTTCTTCTAAAAGTCTTATAGTTTTATATTTTATATTTAAATTCATTTTGATTTAATTTTTGTGTAAAGCGTGAATCTTAGGTTGTTTTTTTTTCTTTTTTGGCCTCTGGATATACAATTGTGTCTGCACTGTCCTTTGAAAAGGCTATTTTTCCTCTGTTGCACTGCACCTTTGTCAAGAGTTAGTTGGCTGTACTTGTGTAAATCTATTTCTGGTTTCTTTATTCTCTTCCGCTGAATTATGTGTCTATTCCTCTGCGCATACCAGACAGTTTCGATTCCTGTAGCTATGTAAGACTTAAAATTGGGGAGAGTGGTTTTCTCCCACTTTCTCCTTTTCAAAGTTATTTTCATTATTCTAGTTTCTATGTCTTCCCATATGACTTTTAGAATAAGCATGTCTATTTCTTCAAAAATTCTTGCTGGGATTGTGATAGGAATTACACTAAAACTCTAGATCATTTGGGGAAAGAACTGGTTTTTTACTAAACTGAGTCTTTCAATCCATGAATCCTATATCTTTCCATTTATTTAGACTTTGATTTATTTCATCAGTATTTTTGTAGCTTTCAGTTAAGCACAAGGTTTATTATATTTATATGTATTTTATTATTATTTGCACAGGTGTAAATGGTATTGTATTTTTGAC